TTTCGGGTGCATCGTTCCAATATCGTCCTCCGACAGCAGCACTCGGAAAATTTTCGGAACGGGCTAAGTGGGGAATACATTTGGCATCGAGAAGCAGTTTTACGCGTGGAAAATCATGGATCTCTGCACGATTCAAATCGTAGCAGCACGTGATTGTCTTTTCTATGAACGTCTAACATTACCTGTTTTTCGTGCTCACCAGGCCGCAGCTGCAAATCATGCCAGGCTGTTCGAGGGCTCGCGTGCTTTTACCACTGACGACGCCGAAGCTGATATGCAGGACAAGTTCGTGGCTGAATCCTCCGAAGCTGTCACAGACGTCCCCATGCCAACCACGTCAGCTGAAACTGCGGAGTTTATTCCACTCGTTGACGCCGATCCTAAAGATGTTCGCCGATGTTGAACTCGATTACGAACGTGACCGCCAACAGCAGCCCATGCCCGTTGTCTCCGAAGCAGCGATATGTGTCACACCTGAAGAAGTTGGGGGGGAACATGGATCAGAACACAACTTCTCCGGTGTCGATTCCAATCGTCCGCGTTTTACAGAAACTGGTGACAAGTTTTTGGATTTGCAGTCGCAGTATAGTCAAATAGCAGTAGCATTTTGGAGCTGAAAACAGTTCGTCAAGCTTTGACAAGTCCTCACAGGGAGAAATGGCACGAAGCCATGGACCGCAAGTTAGCGGCTCTTGAAAAGCGTGGTACCTGGGATTTAATCCCGCTGACAGCAACAAAGGGGAGAAAAGTACTTACCGGGAAATGGGTTTTCCGGGTGAAGACAAATGCAGATGGTTCCTTCAAGAAGTTTAAAGCGCGATGGGTCATCCGCGGCTTCAAGCAGACATTCGGGCTTGATTACGAACTCACCTTTGCCCCAGTTGGCCAGCACACTAGTGTCAGTATCCTTCTCTGCATCGCGGCCTACCGGGATTTCAGACTTCGTCAAATCGACGTCGCCAACGCTTTTCTATATGCGCCTGTCGATGCACTAATTTTGGTCGAGTATCCACATTCTTACGAGATGAATCCTCCCAGCGTGTGCCGTCTCAGAAAATCGCTCTACGGCATCAAACGGGCACCACGACTCTGGCAGCAGTATCTACATTGTCAACTATTAACCGTCGGATTTCGTCAGCTTCCACATGACCAAGGAATGTACTTGCTTACCGACGGTACCGACTATATTCTACTCGTCGCCTACTTCGAGGACTTGCCTTATATCACCACTACGGATTCTCTCGCTACTATCTTCAAACAAAAACTACAACAGAACTTACAGCTTACTATCGCACCTACATTCACACAGTTTCTTGGACTGAACATCCATCGAACTAAAACTGCTATTCATCTAACAGCTTCAAACTATGCAGCTACGCTAGCCGCACGCTTGAATCTCACGGCTTCAACTGTCACTACTCCTTACCGATCTCTACCGACTAATCATCAACCGGACACTACTGCACTCGACAGCGCGTAACTATAAATTTATCAACAGCAACTGGGTTGTCTTCTATTTGCAGCTGTAACGTGTCGTCCAGATCTCGCCTACACCGCTAGCCAGCTCGCGCAATTTCTACGTCGACCTGAGGGGGAGAATCGGCTAGATCTTCTTCGCGCTCTGCAATATTTCATTTCGACACCTGAAGTCGGACTTACCTTTCAAGCTACTACTACGAAAACATTATATCTTAACGGGTACATCGATGCTGATCATGCAGCAGATACTACTAATCGACGATCACGAACCAGGTTCATCTATCGCCTCGAGCCTATTGGAATCATCTCGTGGAATTCTACTAAGCAGGAGCTAGTAGCTCTTTCATCCATTGAAGCTGAGCTTATAGCTGCCTGCACAGCAACTCGCAAAGGTCTCTATCTGCAAGAGCTACTGGAGGAGGTGAAATTGACGAAAAGTACACAATTCACCGTGCAATGCGATAATCAAAGTGTAATCAGAATTGCGCATCAACCTGGTTTCGCCAACAGGACGAAACATATTTCGCTACGGTTCTTTTTCGTCAAAGATGAAGTCGAGAAGGGGAGAATGCGATTGGTCTACTGTTCGACCAATGAAATGGCTGCAGACTTTCTCACCAAGAAGCTGACACGTCAGAAGTTTCAATACTACAACAAGCTTTGTGGAATTATCAAGAAGTGACACTATCGGACTTCCAGAAATGAAGGGGAGTGTTGTGGTATAATCGTACTTAAGCATTTCTGCAATTAATCTCGATAGATATTGTTGAGTTACACTGTATATAGCATCCGTAGAATGACGTCAGCAAATGGCGCTCGTCTGGGTGGTTACGTCAGCAAGCCTTTTCAATCACGCGAACAGTCGCACTCTTTTCAATAGCAGTTAGAGCGCATCGCGCAAATAGCTTGAACAGGTACATTACCGAATAAGAACTTTTAGTATATATAAAAGTAGCATGTACAACTTCAAATATTAACTTGTTCTTCACTAAATTCTGGTCAATACTTTACAAGTTTTAAGACTTTCACTGTCTTACTAGTCTACCATTCCAGCAAAGATCCTTGGTTAAGTCTTAAAGTATCGCAAGGCTGTAACACTGATTCTGGTGTTACAACTTGTTAATACTGGCTATTACTGGAGGAAATTCTAGTATTACTTTCTACTTCAAGTACTTGTGTCTGCAGATTCTATACTTAGTCTCCTGCACCACCTTTCAAATTCTTTCACTGGGGAGGCTTTCCCTGAAGAAGGTGGATATATGGAGCCTTACCCTCCTGATGATATCCCTTCTTGTCCCAATGGTTAGGACTGGTGACTTTACGACATCAATATCTCATGTTTACACACAGCTCATTAGCACAAAGTTAAAGCCCAAATCACACAATACAAACCGTAAAAAGGGAGCGCAGCTCGGTTTGGGGCCAAACGCGGGGGATTGGCTTTGAGGGAAGCGAGAGGAAAAGTGTCACAACTCCACTCTGGCCCGGCCCCACCTCGCTGTCACACCGGCCCTTGCCCGTCGCCACGTCGGCCTTTCCTCCACGCCGCGCCAGCCCCACCTGACCGCTGTGCCTGCCCCAGCGCGACGCCGCGCCCAGCCCCTGCTCGACACCACGCCACCCTGCCACGAGCCGCACTGGCCCCTGCTCGAGCTGCGCCAGACCCTGTTCGCCGTCGTGACGGCCTTTGCTCGCCGCTGCGCCACGCCTCTACTCGCTGCCGGCCCCTGCTTGCCACCGGGCTGTGCGCAGTGTGCCCCCCCCCCCCAGTGCTGGTTCCTCTCCTCAGCCAGCGTCCTGGTCAGCCGTGTGCGCTACCGTGCTCCACCGCACAAAACCGCCCTCCCACGGACTCCACCGCTCTCCACTGCACTACACCGCACCCGCTTGCTCCCAACTCCTCCTCCTCTGGTGTCCTTCAACTGTTGTAGCTATGCTATCGTGCGGTCACTGCTAGTGAAACGCGGTCGCCTCTACTGACATGCGTGCCGCCTCTGCTAACACGCCTGCGCTATGGCGGACGCCGTCCTCCGCCTGGACGCAAAGGGTCGCACGGTGGACTACGAGGCGTGGCTCGCTGACTTGCGCTGCCAGCTGAAGGGTCAGCACCAAGACGACCAGTCTCTGGCCGTCCACATCGACTGTAAGCTGCCCTGCCCTCCCACGCCTGCTGCACGTGCAGCTTTCGCAACTGCTGAAAACGCTCGCTTTGTCTAAGAGTCACTTGGCGCCACTGTGCAGCTAGCTATTTGTCACGCCCTCCCGTTGTCCGAACGTCCCCGCTTTCGCCCTTCTGCCCTTGCTCTTCCCTGACCTAGCTTCCTTCCACACTGTCGCTGATCTGGCCAACAACCTGCGTGCCCTCGAGCCTAGCTACCGCACTGCTAGGACTCAGGCTCAGCTCACTATCCTCCTCCTTCCCCTCGGCGCCACCCCTGATTTCCTAGCCACGCGCCTCCCTGACCGCCTAGTCACCGCCCGTGACACTTTCCTTCGCCAACACCCTGCTGACCTCACCCTTTCACGACTTTGTCGCCAACCTATCGATGATAGAGACCCGCCAGCGCATTATCGCCCAGTCTAGCAGTACTGCGGCGGACCCCATTTTCCAGGATTGTGCTCTCTCCCGGTGCACTTACAGTGGCGGAATAAATTGTCCACATGTTCAGCCTGTTTTGGCATTTTGATGAGTGCAGCGGCGTAAACATTAAGCCTTAATGTATGGTGTGCATACACGCTGAGAAGTTCAGTTAGAGCACTCACTCGAGTTGACAAACACCAAAGTAGTACCACACACGGTCCTTAAACACCTAAGCATAGCATAGGATAACATCCGGACAATTTGTACCGAAAACAGGTAGCATACTAGATTCTGTGAAAACTAGTACCTAGTCCAGCGTCCCTTTGCCTGAATCACTGCCTTGATCCTCCTCGGCAGGCTGTCGATCAGGTTTGCACACACCTCCGCCGGTATCTTGTCCCATTCCTCCTGCACCCTCTCCCACAGCTCCAGCATTCCACTTGGCGGCTTTTCGTACTTCCCCAGCTGCCTTTTCAAGTGTGCCCACAGGTGCTCAATCGGGTTAAGGTCCGGGGAGCACGACGGCCATTCCAACACCGCGTACTCCTGCTCCCCAAGCCAGTCTTGGACCAGACGAGACCTGTGCTTGGGATCATTGTCGTGCTGGAAAATGACCTCTGAGGGGGAAAGCTTGAAAAAATCGATGGTCTGTTTGAGCTCATCTTGCAGGATGTTGCGATACAGTGGCCCATCCATCCTGCCATCTATCTTGCACATGAACCCCGCCCCCTCATACGTCATGCAACCCCACACCATCACAGAACCGCCCCCATGCTTAACTGTCTGTTGGACTTGATGGCTCCGAAGGCTGGTGCCCTCGCGAATCCAGGCGTACGCACGTCCATCGGAGCAGTAGCGGTTTATCTTTGTCTCGTCAGACCAAATCACCCGCTTCCAGTCCTCCAGCGTCCAGTCGGCATGCGACCGCGCGAAGTCGAGACGATCTCGGATGTTTTTCGGTGAGAGCCTGGGTTTCTTGGGCTGATGCACGGCGATCAGCCCCGCGGATCGTAATGAGTTCCTAACCGTCTTCGAGTCTACGGCGAGATCGTGCTTCTCCAACAACATATATGCCGCGTCTACTGAGCTTTTCGCCTCGCCGCTTGTAATCGCGTGTATTATTCCGCGCTGGAGACGGGTAGTGATTAAGCGGGGGCGGCCGGCCGTAGGCATCGTAGGTCGCACCTCCTCGAGACTAGTCTCGGCAGCCACTTTCAAACCGTAATCGTGCACGGTGCTCTTGCCTATGCCAAGAACTTTGCCTATTTTCCTAGTCGAATGCCCCGCACGCAACATGCTTATGATTCGCGCGCGCTTCCGCTCATTTAACGGCTTCATGGCGATGCGGTCGTAGGCTCGCTTCCGGACTAACTCCTAAGCCAGCAACTATTGCGCGTGACGATGTACACACCGAGTGACAGGGGAAAATAGATCTACTCTTCCGCTCGGTAGGAAATGTCCGCATCGATAGTCGAGGAGTAAATTTCAACTCCACTTTCCGGTTGTGTCACAATCGCGCCAAGCAAGAAACGGTTGAAGCAGAACTCGAACACCTTGTAACGGAATGGCAAAAAACGGGTGTTACTATTTTCGAAACATGTGTGGCATAGCGATAAGTTTCAAAGTGTTAAACATCCGGGCAATTTATTCCGCCACTGTACTCTGACGTTTCCGCCACTGTCGCTGAGACAGCCACTATCGCTGAGACTGCTGCGGCGGCCTCAGCGCAGCCTCGTCAGGGTAGAGGCCCTCATTGCCCCAAGGGGGGACGAGGGGGAGGGAAGGGATTTGGGGGTGATGGTGGTGGTGGTGGTGGTGGTGGTGGTGGTGGTGGTGGTGGTGGTGGTGGGGGTGGTGAGGGTGGTGGGAGTGCTAGGGGTGTGGACGAGGGGGTGGGGGCTGACGCCCCAGGGGAGCAGCAGCAGCAACAACCGACGCAGTAGCAGCAGCAGTGGGGGTCCCCGCCGACGTGGGGGCGAGGTGGCTTTGGTGGTGGTGGCCGCGAAGGCGGCCCTGGCAGCTGGACGTCGGGTGGCGGCTCCGGTCAGGTGTGTTGTCAGTACCAGATTCAGTCCGATCCCCACCGTGGCACTGACTGTGACCGCACCGGTCACACTGTCGCCGCCTTGACGACCTCTTCTGTCTCCGCTTTGGGCCCACGTCGGCCCTCCCAGACTGGCCCGCCCTGGTGTGTCGTCGTGTGCCAGTCTTAAAGCTGGATATGGATCAGTTAGGATATCTTATGTATGCGATGCATGCTGATGACTCTAGTATTACTGGACCCTATTATCCTACTTTGCCTAGTATAAGACCTCCTGTCTTGTGTAGCCTTAGTTCCACACGTGCGCCCTCGCAGGCCGACGTGAATGTCGCACTCTCCTTTACATTGGACTCCGGTGCGTCTGCCTGCTTCTTTCACGACCACACTACACGCACGCTGCTTCCTGCACCCGCAGCAGTCTCCCTTGAAGACCCCTCCTCGGGTTCGATAGGCACACGCAGTTCCACCACACTTCCCTGTCCGGCGGTTCCCTCTTGATCTCTTACGGGGCAGCACATCCCCTCGTTTTCCAGGACCTTGGTTGGTGTAGGCCGTCTTCAGGACCTCGACATCACCACCACTTTTCCTGGAAACAAGCGGTATGCAGTCTGTACAGAGTTCGCCACTGGTGCTGCCCTAACCACGTTTCCCAGAGACCCTGTATCGGGCTTGTTCACTCTGCACACTGCGTCCCCCTAGGTGGCTGCGTCTATGTAGGTTGCTGCGGCTTGCTAGTGTCGGTTTCTCACTCACATATCGCTAATGTGACACCCCCGTCTAGGTCACCCCGCTCTCCAGCGTCTCCGTCACAAGTCACAGCACAGTCTTGTCTTAGGTCTCCCTGCGTCACTCTCTGCCATCCCTCCCTCTCCCGCACCTCCGTGCACGCCTTGCGTCGAGGGGCAGCAGTACACTGCTTCTCACTCCTCCTCTTTCCCCCCATCACTGCGCAACTTTAGACCCTGCACATAGATGTCTGGGGCCCAGCCCCGGTCCCTAGGCCGCGCCACGAGCGCTACTTCCTTGTTTCTCGTGGACGACTACTCGCGCTACAATACGGTGTTTCCCTTGGAGCGGAAGGCCAACATGCCTGACATTCTTATCCCGTAGCTTGTAGCTACCCGAGTTCACTGCGCCTAGCCTGTGCTTCGTCTACACTCCTACCGTTCTGTCTCCGGTTTGGCTCCGGTCAGCTTGGCCAGTTCTGTCGTGCGGAGGGCATCACCCAGTCATACACACATCCGGACTCCCCACAGCCAAATGGGATCGCTGAGCGGCGTATTGGTTTGGTCATGGAGGTGGCTCGTACCTCCATGATCTATGCCGGTGCACCCCTTTCTCTGTGGCCGTTCGAAGTCCGCTACACCGCCCACGAGCTTAACATGTGGCCCCGCGCATCGCGCATGTAGGTTTCGCTGACCCTCCTCTGACCCGGGTCCTCTAGTGACGCGTCTGCATTTCACGCTGAGGCTGTCTAGCTTACGTCCACGACTCTCGCGCGGACAAGCTCACCTCCCGCACTGTCCCTTGTATCTTCCTTGGTTTCCCCCTTGACGCTTATGACCGGCACTTTTACCACCCTCCATCTCACCGTTTCCTCCAGTCGCGTGACGTCACATTTGAGGAGTCTGTTTCATTCTACACCCGTTTCTCCTACCAAGGTCTCCACGTTACCCCACCTCTGTTCCTTGTCACCACTCCCCCGGTAGCTTCCACTCCCCTCCCTTTGCTTTTGCCTCGTCTGATGTGTTTGACGTCACTCCCTTTCCCTCGGTTGGTCCGGCGGACGAATTTGCTGACTATGGAGGTTCTAGGGCAGTGGGTGCACCGTTTGCTTCTGCGGTGCCTGCACCCCCGGCCTCGGTGCCACCGCCGCCACAGCAGCAGCAGCAGCAGCAAGGGCTGGTGGGCTCTAGGGGTGTTGGCGCTGGGGGCGCTGGTGCATAGGGGGCTTCTAGTTCTGGGGGTGCTGGTCTTGGGGGTTCTGGTCCTGACGGTGCTGTCTTGGTGAGTACCGGCGGTAGCCGCGGTGGGGCTGGAGGTCTTGGTGTGGGCACGGAGCTACAGCATCAGCAGCAGCCAGTGTCTGCCCTTTGCCTCCTCGGTCTTCCCTCCTCCTCCTCTGACCGACAGCGCGCGTCTCCCCCAGCGCAGCCTCCTCCTCCTATCAACAGCCCCGTGTTCCCTCCGCCCGACTCATCTCGGGCTCACTTCCCCCCTCGTTCTCCTCCATTGTCTCCTCCTTTGTCTCCTGACCCGACGCCTCCCTCCCACTTCTAGTCTCACCGTCCCTCTCGTACACGCCCCGCCTCTCTCGATCCGAGTGTCCACCCTATGTTTCTCTGTTCTCATGTGTCTCATGTTCCTCCTATTCTCTCGTCGCCTCCTTAGTCATCCCTTGCTATCTCCTCTCCTCCTCTCTCTCACCTTCTCTGTGCTGCTAGCGCTCTTCTCCCTCATGTCCTAGCCTCTCTCGTTACCCACCCTTCTGTTCATGTCTTCAATATCTCGGGTCTTGTTGCTGCCGTTACTGACTTTTCCTCTACCTGTCGCCAATACGCCACTGCTCTGGTCTTCGACCCTGCCCGTCCTTTGTCCGCCGGGGGTGCACCTGCCCTTGGCAGTGACGTCCTAGAGGATACGCAGTACAAACTAGCTTTCCTTGCGGAGGCTGCTCCTCATCTCTGCTCCATTCTGCTGGGTTTTGAGGGTGATCCAGACGCCCTTGACATCCCGACCTCTCGCACCTACACTAAGGCGACTAAGGGACCCTGGGTCTCTCAGAAAATAGCTTCCCTGGACGCAGAGATGGCATCTTGGAGATCCACCGGCAAGTACGTCGACGCATTTTCCTTACCTGAGGGGAACGTAGTCGATGACCTGTAGCTCTTCAAGGTGAAGCATCTGCCTGGGAAGCCGCCGGTGTTGAAGGCGCGACACATTGCTAGAGGCTTCAGTAAGTGCAAGGTGATGGACTTCTTCCAAACCTTCGTCCCTACCCCAAAGATGACCACTCTTCGGGCACTGCTTCACGTAGCAGCACATCGCGGCTACGAGCTCCACTCACTTGACTTCTCCACGGCGTTCCTCCAGGGTTGCCTACACAGGCACATCTAACTGCGCCGTACGCCTGGCTTCACTGGCTCTTTCCCTCCTGGGACCCAGTGGCTCCTCCGGCGTCCGATTTACGGCATGCGGCAGGCGCCTCATGAGTGGCAGGACGCGCTGCATTCTACGTTAGCTGACCTGCAGTTTTTCCTGTCATCTGTAGACTCTTCGCTCTTTGTTCGTTCAGGCCGGTCCCCGTTCTACATCCTTGTCTACGTAGACGACCTGGTCTTTGCTACTGCAGACAGAGACGCACTGGCCTCAGTGAAGGCCAAGCTACTGAGGAGACACACCTGCATTGACCTAAGAGAGTTGCGCCGTTATCTCGGACTGCAGATTTCCTGGTACAGAGCAGTGTGCATCATCACTCTCTCATAGTCACACTTGGTGCGTCAGGTCCTTCAGAAGTTTGGCCTTCAGTTCTCCTCTGCACAACCCACCCCTTTGCCTGTGGATCACAAGCTCTCGGCTCCAGTCCTTGACGAGCCAGTCGAGCCTAGTGGTTAGTACGCACAGCTTCTGGGCTGCCTCATATACAGTGACGGAATTAATTGGGTTTGAAAAGTCACACAAGTCTAAAGATTGTGTATTTTAATTACGTTTAGTGTGCATTCATCCCCAAGTACCCATTGTATCATATGACTAAGGAGTGAAGCATCCTTATGCTGTAGGGTATTGAATGCTTTATCAAACTGCTTATAGTGAGTCCACCACTTTGCTAGCGACACTCGATGCGGACAATTAGCTCTCGATTCGTGTCTAGATCTATTTTCTCTCGGCATTTCGCGATCTCGCAAACCTAGCCGCCTAGTCTTTACCGACGGCATAGCGTGAACCCCGCCAGGCTCCTAGCAACGATGCGGCCTCTTTCTTCACGCCAGAAAGATAGGATCGCGACCTTGCTTCGACACGGTCATAGTTTCCATCAGATCGCTAGAATGCTAGGGATAGGGAGGAGCACAGTTCAGAAATACGCTCAAGAGGCCTCTTTGCGCACCAGCAGCCTAGCGGTTAGGCCGACAGTCCCGAGGTCTGGCCGACCGCGCCTGCTCTCAGTACGTGATAGGCGCATCCTCGTTCGAGCTGTGACTTCTGGCGAGGTGAAGACTGGCGTGGAAGCCGCTAAGCTACTGGAAACAGACCATGGCATTAAGATCTGCCCCAGAGCAGTCCGTAACGCCCTCAAACTGTCCGGCCTAGTCGCCGTCCAACAATCGAAGAAGCCACGTCTCTCCACGCGTAACATCAGAGACAGACTAGATTTCGCCAAGGCCCACCTTGACTGGACCTTGGACAACTGAAAACGGGTGGTATGGTCTGATGAGACGGCCGTTGATGGGTGACGGCCAGACCACCCGTTTCTGTAGTGACGGCCGGACGTATGCATGGATTCGCGACGGGGCGGCTCTTCAAGGGCATCACATCAAGCAAACTGTTAAGCATGGGGGTGGGTCAGTCATGATATGGGGGTGTATGACGTACGATGGCCCTCGATACATGTGTAAAATCGACGGCCGTATGGACGGGCAGTTGTATCGAAGCATCTTGCTGGATGAGCTTGCCCAAACCATTGAGTTCTATGACCTTATCACCTCTGATGTCATTTTCCAGCATGACAACAACCCCAAGCACAAGTCCCGCCTTGTGCAGGAGTGGTTGTCAGAGCAGGAATATTCAGTCCTGCTGTGGCCCTCTTCATCCCATGATCTCAACCCCATCAAGCACTTGTGGGCCCATCTCAAACGCGAGCTGTCCAAGTATGAGCTCCCCCCCTCAGGGATGCTCCAGACTTGGGAGCGGATCCAAGAGACCTGGGAGGGGATAGATGCTGATGTGTGCAGGGGGCTCATTGATAGTATGCATAGGAGGGTGAAGGCGGTGGTTAGGGCTAAGGGAAAATGGACTAGGTACTGATTTCAAGGTGTCTCTTGCATACTTTGAACATGGCACAAACTGTCTGAGTGTACTTGTGTGTATGGATTTTGCCCAGGCACACTATATTGAATGATCTGGGCTGATTATCAAGAGACATTCTTGTATAGGCATACGTCTAGCTCTGCCTTCAAACCTGGCATTGAATAAGCTGCATCTCTAAACACTACACACGATTATTCGCCTAGAGAGGCTGAGATGTGGACAATTTCTTCCGTCACTGTACCTGATGACTTGCACTCGCCCAGATCTCGCATACCCTCTTAGTATCCTCCCTTGCTTTGTTGCAACAGGCAGACACTGACCCCGGCACTGGTCTGCTGCTAAGAGGGTGATGCGATATCTAGCAAGTACATTAGATATGGGGCTAGTGCTAGGAGGACGCATGCTAGTGGTTCTCATAGGGAATACAAATGCTTCGTGGGTGGACGAAACTGAGACTCACAGGTCCTCTCAGGGCTACTGCTTTAGCCTTGGTGCAGGCGCTATCTTGTGGAGGTCCACCCGCTCGTCGTCTATTGCCCAGCCCAGCTGTGAGGCTGAGATCTATGCTAGTGCCATGGCGGCACAGGAGCTCCGCTTGCTGATGTTCTTGCTCGACTGACTTAGGTGAGCAGCCTCGATTTGCCCTGGTCCTGTACGCTGACAACAGGGCCATGATCGTCCTGTGTCAGGAGGCTTGACTAGAATGCAGGGCGAAGCACATCCAACTGCGGTACTTCCTCCTGCGCGAACTATAGCAGAGCGGCCAGGCACGGATAGTACACTTGGCCTCCGGTGCCAAGACAGCTGATATTTTTACTAAGGTACTTGCGCCTAAAGAACATCAGCAAAATTGCTTACAACTTGGTCTGGTTCCAGTAGCTTCTCACTTGCTAGGACACTGACTTGTGTACTCATTATATTACCTTGCCTACCTACACTTGCTAACTGGCCTTCTGCGTCTTGTCTCAGAGGCTGGACTAGTAGTGCTGTCCTGAGTTACTCTTGTTGAGTTACAGCACAGAAGTTGTCTTCGGACCCCTGCCTCAGAGGTTGGACTAGTAGTGCCTCCCTTAGCTGCATGTCTCTTGCTAGGCACTGCCCTTTATCTAGCCTAGGGGTCGTGACAGCATATACATATGTGTTATATGTAGCAGTTATAGGCTAGATGGGCAAGTGCTCTTAGAGAGTACAATACCAAACTATATACCGTATCTCCCCTGTATCCCATGCTTGAGTTCACTTCACTATTCTAACACCACAGCCATTTACGAACCACAGCAACAACACATATTGCACTTGGTTTTAAAGGGAAACCGAATTTCAAACGCCCAAGTTGTTCAGCACCAACCGCGCTGGGGCTCGAGAAAAAAAAAAGTATCGCGTCGGTGCCGGGTTACACACTAGAATCCGTCTCCCTTCAGCGACCATCTGCGACCTGCACAAGGCAGCCCGCGTGCCCCCCAATCCTCATACGTATCCAAGTTTCCCAGAATGCGGCGACGGAGAAAGCTTCAACAGGCGCTCGACTGATTCAGCCTAGCCTAGGCGTCTCTAACACCCCAGAATCCGCCAGTTCTTAGATCTGCCCTACCGTTGCGCACTACGGGCGCAACAGTGTCGCAATCGCATCTACCATCGTCACCATCATCAGTTGCGTGTCAGATGCTGCGCTTCCAGGCTCACAGCCGTCCTATCAGCGAAAATTCATTCGACGAGTCTCTGGGAATCTCGCCACCAAAAACTGCGGAGAGCGCCGCCGATTCCGCAATCCTTGGCGTGAAAGACGCGGCGATGGGTGCAAGACACCAGGTTTGCCGCCACGATTCTCGGCACCGAAGCAGGAGCGATGAGCTGAGCATAACTGCGACGGGGGTGGGAGGCAGGGATGACAAGGCAGCAGCGGAGGAAATGGAGGTATTAGTAGCATGGGAGTTTGGGGGGCGAGTGTGGATACTAGGAGGGGGTGGGTGGAGGTGGAGTATGACCCGTAAAGTTCGGGGAAGAGAGTCGTTGCGGGTGCTTTAGGGGTGATTACTCTGGAACCATTAGGGGTAAAAAAGGGGGGGGGAGGAGGGGGATGAAAGATATGATTGGTGGGGGGATGACAATTGGGGTAAGGGGGCGGAGTGGAAAGGGGGGGGCATGGCAGAGGGAGGGGGTAAGGGGACTTAGGGGAAGGGGGAGGGAAACGCAGATTGGGGGCTTGGTGAAGGGCAGGTTAGAGGGAGCGGACAGAGAAAGCGGGGATGAAGGGTAGAGGGGTTGGTAAGGCATGAGGAACGTGCCATCAATGGGCACAGGGCAGGGGAGAGGGAAGGCACCAGGGAAGACGAAAGGGAAGGGGAAAAGGTAGGTGAAGAAGAGTGAGAGCAGCATGTGAGTGAGTGAGGGCAGCATATGAGTGAGTGAGAGAAGCATATATTTCCTCCCTTTCATGAAAAGCTGCAATCTTTCATGCCTGCTGTGCATTCTCTTTCCAGGTCTTCCACCATATCTCGCACTAAGCTCCAACCCATCGCTTGTTTCTGATCTCAGACTTTTACTCAGCCTAACGAACCTCACATTCCACAACTTCCAATTTTGAATTGACTCTGGTCCCATCCCCTTCCTATCAACTTATACATATGTCTTATATGTAGCAGTTATAGGCTAGATGGGTTTGTGCTTTTAGAGAGTACAACACCCAACCATATAGCTCCCTTGTATCACTTGTTTGAGTTCACTTCGTCATGCTGACATGGTATCATGCTAGGTAGGCCCCACCCACCCGCGCTTCCGCCCTAGCCTACCGTAGTGCACCCCGCCCCTTAGAGCGCCCCGACCGTGGCGTGCGCCTCCCCTACTGCCGCGCCGTGCAGGCTCCTAGCCCGCCGTGCTGGCCCCTAGCCCGCTGCGCTGGCCCCTTCGCTCGCCGCGCTGGCCCCTAGCCCATCGCGCTAGCCCTTCAGCTCGCTGCGCTGGCTCCTAGCTCGCCGCGCTGGCCCCTCAGCTCGCCGCGCTGGCCCCTAGCCTGCCGCGCTGGCCCCTCAGCTCGCCACGCTGGCCCCTAGCCCGCCGTGCTGGCCTCAGATCGTCACGCAAGCCCCTGCACGCCGCGTAGGCCCCAGCCCACCGCACCCGCCCCAGCTCGCCGCGCCGGCCCAGCTCGCCACGTCGGCCCCTGCTCGCCGCGCCGCCCCAGCTCGCCGCGCTGGCCCCATCTTGCCGCGCTGGCTCCAGCTCGAGCCGGGCCCTGCTAGCCGCGCCGGCCCCTGCACGCCGCTGGCCCTCGTTTCTCCTCTACGCCGGCGCCCTCGCCGGCCGTCTGCTCTCCCGAGTTTTCACCACACTCCACCGCTCTCCACCGTTGTCCACCGCACTCCACCGCTCCCCACCTCAACCGCTTGCTCTCTGCTCCTCCTCCTCCTGCGTTCTGCAACCGCTGCAGCTGTGTATGTTGGTAGATGCCATTCTCCGCCTGGATGCAGAGGGTCATGTGGTGGACTTCGAGGAGTGGCTCGCCGACCTGCGCCGCCAGCTGAAGGGTCAGCACTAGGATGGCCAGTCTCTAGCAGTCCATGTTGATGGTAAGCTGCCCTGCCCCCCGCCTGCTGCCCTCGCTGATGCCACCACACCTGCTGAGCGTAAGGCTTTCACAGCTCGCTCGCTCTGTATGGGATTTGCATGAGCCACTGCGCTACAAGCTATCAGTCACGCCCTCCTGCTCTCCAAGCGTCCCCGCTTTCTGGCCCTAGAGATTGCCAAGGAGTACCTAGATGCAGTCATTGCTCACTATTCCACTCCCTTCTCCACCTCTGCTAACCGCCTCTTCCTACCCCTGCTCTTCACTGATCTCGCGTCCTTCCCCACTGTCGCTGATCTCGTCACTCACCTGCACGCTCTTGAGACTAGCTCCCGCGCTGCTAGCACTGAGGCTCAGCTCACTGTACTTCCTCGGCGCTACCCTTTATTTCCTAGCCACGCGCCTCTCCGACCAATTTGCCACTGCCCGCGACACCTTCCTTAGCCTCCACCCCACTGACCTCACCCTTAGCGACTTTGTCGCCACCCTATCAGTGATAGAGACGCGCTAGCGCACTCTCGCTCAATCTAGCGGTACTGCAATAGTCCCTATCTTCCATGGCTGTGCTCCCTCCCAATGCACCTACTCTGTCATTTCCATTGCTGTCATTGAGACAGTTCCTGTCGCTGAGACTACTCCGACGGCCTCAGCGCAACCTCGTCAGGGTAGAGGTCGTCGCCCCAGAGGGGGGCGTGGGGGGTGGGGGGGGGGAAGGGTGCTGGGAGAGGCGGAGGTGTCGGGGGCGGTGGAGGTGATGGTGGGAGCATAGGGGGTGCAGACAAGGGGGTGGGGGCTGAAGCCCAAGAGCCGCAGCAGTAGCAGCCGTAGCAGCAGCAGTAACCGAGGTAGCAGCAACAGCCGTGGGGACCCCCGCTGCCGTGGTGGCCCAGCGGCTTCGGTGGTGGTGGCCCTCGCAGCTCGACGTTGGGTGGCGGCTCCAATTGCCAGTACCAGATCCAGTTTGGTCCCCTTCGTGGCCCCGTGTGTGACCGCCCCGGTCACACCGCCGCCCACTACTACCGCCGCCTTGATGACCTCTTCCGTCTCCGTTTCAGACCCACGTTGTGTCTGTTACGTGTAGCAGCGTGTAGTCACATTGTGCTGCTACGTGTAGCAGCGCCCGAAGAGTAGTCATCTTCGGGGTCGAGGCAAAGGTATGGAAGAAGTCCACACCCCCACGCTGACTGAAGCCTCTAGCCACGTAGCACGCCTTGAACACATGCGGCTCTCTCGGAGGGCACTTCACCTTGAAGAGCTACCGGCCATCCACTACGCTCACCCCGAGTGGGGAGACTGCGCCGATCTCCCCAGGTGGGGGGACTGCGTCGATCACCCCAGGTGGATCTCCAAGCTGCCATCTCCGCGTCCATGGCAGCTATCCACTGAGATGCCCACAGTCCTGAGGTCGCCTCTGCGTAAGTGCGAGGGGTCGGGATGTCAAAGGCGTCTGGGTCCCCCTCAGGGACCAGCAGCATGGAGCAGAGACGAGGCGCGGCCTCGGAAAGGATAGCAAGCTCGTACTACCAGTCCTCCAGGACGTTACTGCCAAAGGCAGGAGCACCGCCGACGGACGAAGGACGGGCAGGGTCAGAGACCAGAGCGGTGGCATAGTCAAGGCATCGGGTAAAGGCAAAATCAGCGACGGCAGCGACAAGTGCGTGAAGACCCGATGGGTCGGTAACTAGGGAGGCAAGGACCCGAGGAACAAGAGGACGAGCGGCATGAAGGAAGTTTGAATAAGGTGGCGGAGTGACAACATGCGACGATGGAGGAGGCGACGGGAGGAGGGGAGGACGAGACGTGTGGGAACGAAGCAACATAGGGTGAGAGTGCTGAACATGAGAGACAGGATGAGCCCAGGAGGGACGGCAAGACCAGACGTGAGACGGAGGCGTCGGGTCAGAAGACAGAGGAGGAAACACAAGAGGGGAACGAGAGGGAAAACGAGCCAGAGACGAGTCCGGCGGAGGAAACACAGGGCCATAGACAGGAAGGGGAGGAGACGGCGGTGGAGGCGTACGCGAGCGGGCAGGGGAGGGAAGACTGAGGAGGCGAAGGGCGGACACCAGCTGCGACTGCTGCTGTTGCGCCACACCGACACCAAAACCTCCAGCTGTACCACAGCTACCTCCGGAATGCTCCACTTTAGCACCGCCGGAACAATGACCCTCTCCAGCACTGGTGCCACCCCCAGGACAACCGGGACGATCCACGACAGGAACCCCAGGACTAGCGCCCCCAGAAACCAGCACCACCAGAACGAGAACCCTCTTCAGCACCGGTGCCACCCCCGAGACCGACGGGACAAGCCACGACAGTAACCCTAGGACTAGCACCCTCCTCAACGCTAGCAACCCCAGAATGCGCGGACCCATGCGGTGGTTGCGGCTGCGGCGGCGGCGGCTGCTGCTGTTGCTGCGGCGGCGACGGCGGCGGCGACGGCGGCAACTGCTGTGGCTGCGGCAGCGGAGGAGGAGACTCCGGGTCAAGGACTGGCAGCGAAACCCAAGCCGCGGGGCCCCCAGAGTCAGCCGAATCCTCCAACGGGACTTGCGACGAGAGGGGAGTGACGTGAGACACACCAGACGGGGTAGGAAAGGGAGGGACAGGAGCAAGGGCTACCAAGGGGGTGGGAATCAGGAATAGGGGCGGGGAAACCCGGAGACCTCGGTGGGGAAAGCGTTGGTAGAAGGAGACAGACTCGTCGAAAGTGTCGTTACGCGAGTGAAAGAAGCGGTGAGACGGCGGGTGGTAAAAGTGCAGTCAGACGAGACAAGGGGGGAACAAGGGAAGACACAGGGGACGGTGTGGGCAGTGAGCTTGTCCGTGCCAGAGGCATGAACGTGAGCAAGGTAGCCCCAGACGTGGAATGCGGACACGTTACCGGGTAACCCGGTCCAGAGAAGGGTCGGCGAAACCTGCAGCTGCTGGGAGTGTGGCCACAGGTTAAGCTGGTGAGCAGCGTAGCGAACATCGAACGACCACAGAAAATGGGGTGCACCGACATGGATCATGGAGGTACGAGCCACCTCCATGACCAGATCGATGCGTCGCTCAGCTCATTTTGCTGTGGGGAGTCCAATAGGGTGTACGACCGGGTGATGCCTCCGCACGACTGAACTGTCCAAGCTGACCGGAGGCAAACTCGCCGCCACAGTCAGAGTGGAGACACAGCACGGGGAGACCGTGGTGGACAAGTGCAGCAATTATACCCACGAGATAAGAACGTCAGGCACATCGGCCTTCCGCTCCAGGAAAAACACCGTGGTGTAGCGCGTGTAGTCGTTGACAAGCACTAAAATGTAGTGCTCTCGACGTAGCCCATGGACGGGGGCTGGGCCCCAGACATCCAAGTGCAGGGTCTGGAGTGGCGTGGTGGCAAGGCGAAGCGAGGAATGAGGAGCACGGCGCAACCGGCCTTTGGAGCAGGGCGTACATGGTGGCGCAGGCAAGGGAGGGAGGGCAGGGAGCGATGCAGGGAGACCTAGGACTAGACCGTGATGGAACATGTGACGCAGACGCGGGAGTGCCGGGGGACCTAGGCGGTGGTGCCACAGAAGCGACGGGTGAGTGAGCGACCGACCCGAGCAAGCCGTAGTGACCAGGGTAGACACAGGCACCAGGGGGGACGCCCTCAGCAGGGGGGACTCGGTGTCAGGCATAAACAGGCCAAACACCTGGTCCCAGAGGAACGTAGTGAGGGGGGCACCTGGGGTGGCCTCGGTACAGGCCGCGTACCGCTCTTCGCTAGGGAACGTAGTGGTGACGCCGAGGTCTTGAAGATAGCTGACACCAACTAGGTTCCTGGAGAACGAGGGGTTGTGCAGGCCTGTAAGGGAGCCCGAGGGAACAGCCGGACAGGGAAGGGTAGTGGAGCTACGGGCAACTACTGGACCTGAGGAGGGGCCAGCAAGCGCGACATCGGCAGTGGCGGCAAGCTGCGTGAGCGCAGTGTGGTCGCTGAAGAAGTAGGCAGATGCACTAGAGTCAAGCGTGAATGAGAGCGAAGTGGTAGCGGCAG